ATTTTTAATATGCTGATTTGTGTTCTTATTATTATCAATCTTAATCAGTCTTAATGTTTTTGTGGAAGCCGTGATACATTATTTATCAGGATTCTTGGATGAATTAAAGTTCAAAAGAACTGTGTTTATCTGAAATAGAAATCTTTTTTGTAACATTATGAATGTCTTCATTGCCACATTTTATTAATTTAATGCACCTGTGCTGAATAAAATTATGAATTAATAAAAAAATAAAAAACTCACTTCCCCTGAAACGTTTTAATGATAGTGTATATAATATATGCATAAAGTATATAAATATGTTTATATACATAAATATAAATACTTCACATTTGCGCACAATATGTGAGTAATATGGTAGGTTTACTAAGTGAGATCAGTTACGCTTCACCTGTGTGACAAAACGGTAAAGACTCTTTTCAGGGATTAGAGCAGCTGTTCTCCTAAGGCTAAAGGTATTCATCTCTAAATAACCACTTATTTCTAATCCCTCTATCCTATTAACTTCAAATGAAGGCGAGGTCTGTGGGTTTTCTACTTAGACAGTGAATTGAGCTGTTGTGTCTGTCCATCAGAGACTGAAATGGATTTGATTAGAAGTGTTTGTGGCGTTTAAGGAAAGGCTTTCTTTTAGTTTGCTGATTACTTTTATTTTGAACTTCATGTTTTATGTTGTTGTCATGTCTTTGTTCCCTAGCCCAAACCTGATTGTATCCAAGTGTGTCCTCATTAGTTCTAGAGTAGTTATGCTGCCTTCATTAGTCAGATGTGGGTTTTTCTAACATTATTTCCCTGACTATAAAACCAGCCCATTCCCAGTGCTTGGAAAATGACGTGTATAGAAACAAAATTGCATTGCTACGGTTAGCTTGGCAGGTGTTCATTGTCAGCACAGTGGTCTTCTGGCAACCACATTGTGGAGGATAAATGATGTGATGCAATGATTCCCTTTGTTTTGTATGATTCTCTGTCACCATTTGTTATGCACTTGGCTGGTTTGGCACAAACAGGTTTCGAATAATGCAGTCTGATTTACGCGTTGTATTTGCAAAAAAAATTAAGCCCTTCTTGGGTGGTGCCATGTTCATTCATTCACCTGCATTTTGGAAAAAAAATTTTGGGAACATGAATCAAGACCTTCAAAATAAAAGTCAACTAAGAGTAAAACGAACAATAATCAAAAGATTTCCAGATCCTTAAAATAGAGATGTGTGTTTTACATCTTTTTTTTATTTTAATATTAAACACTTTAATTAGCAATAATGGGGGCCATTTTAACATTAAGAAACATTAAGAAAATGTCATCAATTGTTTCATTAAATGATACAATTTTGTGTGGAGTTTTGTAAAGAAAATTACTTAAATTACTTATGTAAATAAAAATTATTTTAATTTAACTTTTATATATTTATTTATTTGTTTGTTTTTGCTTTTTTATTTGTGCTCGGACCCAATTCTGAACTACTGACCTAATTGGGCCATCAAAATAATAATAATAATTTAAAAAACTGTATTGTTGAGCCCTAAAAAAGCTTGTCTGGACATGAGATACTGTTGTGTGCTTTATTGCCGAGTCTGACCCGAGCAGTCTCTGCTGACTGCTGCAGAGAGACAAGGCAAGTTCCAGGTCAGCTAGAGTTTTTCCTGTGTGATATCATGAGAAATCACAGATGCTGTGTTCAGAGAGCTTCAGCATAATATGCAAGGCTACTTTTTTACATCTCGTTCTTGTTAAGTTTTCCTTCAGATGGGCTGTTACTTTATAACTCCTCACTCAGAAATTGCTTGACTTGCTCAACACTGCATTGCAATATGGCGAACCTTAAAGGAACACTCCACTATTTTTGAAAATAGGCTAATTTTCCAACTCCCCTAGAATCCATTCAGCCAATCTCCGGGTCTGGCGGTAGCACTTTAAGCTGTAGCTTAGCATAGATCATTGAATCTGATTAGACCGTTAGCATCTCGCTCAAAAATGACCAAAGAGTTTCTATATTTTTCCTATTTAAAACTTAACTCTTCTGTAGTTACATTGTGTACTAAGACCAACGGAAAATGAAAAGTTGCGATTTTCTATGCCAATATGGCTAGGAACTATACTCTCATTCCGGCGTAATAATCAAGGAACTTTGCTGCCGTACCATGGGTGCAACAGGCACAATGATACTACGCAGCGCCTGAAAATAGGCTAATTTCCATCAGCATAACCAACGTGACCACCTGGAGCATGCTGGGAACTATTTTCAGGTGCTGCATAATATCACTGCGCCCGCTGCACCCATGGTATCGGCCTAGAAAATCGCAACTTTTCATTTTCCGTCGGTCTTAGTACACGATGTAACTACAGAAGAGTCAGGTTTTACATAGGAAAAATATTGAAACACTTTGGTCATTTTTGAGCGAGATGCTAACGGTCTAATCCGATTCAATGATCAATGCTAAGCTACAGCTAAAAGTGCTACCGCCAGACCCGAAGATCGGCTGAATGGATTTGAAAATGGTAAAACTCAAATGTTTAACTCTTGGGGCGTTGGAAAATGAGTCTATTTTCAAAAATAGTGGAGTGTTCCTTTAATAATCAGAAACGAGCTCATTAGCGGCTTTCTTTTATCTCCCAGCACAATGGCGACTGAATGTGCTTTCAATGACTTTAATTAGTTCCATGCTGAGTGGCTTTGAATTATTCACTAATGAGAAGTGTTTTATCAAGTGCATGCAATAGCTGCGGTCATTAAAAGTTATAAGGGCATAAACAAGTTTGCAATTCTCCCTCAATTAGAAGGCCCCCTGCGTCTGCAGAGAGAGGGTGGCCTAAACAGACTCATTAATCTAGAGGTCAACCCTGATTAAAGGAAACGGAAGTGGGAAAGGGTGTCAGAGAGGAGGATATCATAAAAACACCACCTCAAACTCAAGCCATATGCGCTCACACGTTCTGATTCGCAATTATCATTTTAGAGTAAAGGAAAATTCCAGGAATAAGAGCTCTCACAAGTTATGTAAGCAGCTCTTGTGGCTCTTTTACACTGTAAAAAAATATTATTCAAAGTTGAAAATAAAGATTATTGAAGTGTAAATACAACTGAAGTCATTCCACTTTAAAAATGCAGTTTTAGATTAATGTGTTACCTGCTGTTTCTTTGTTAGTTGTGATGTAATTAATTGTGATGTAATTAATTAATTGTGTCTTTCTACGCCATTTAATATTTAAAATATTTTATTTAAAAAAAAAATTATATATATTTTTAATCTTAATGTAAATGATTCCTGTGATGGCAAAGTTACATTTTCAGCAGTCATTGCTTTAGTCTTCAGAGTCACATGATCCTCCAGAAATCATTCTAATATACTGATTTGATTAACCATTTTTATTATTCTCTCTGTTGAAAATATAACCTTTATACTTTTTATACTATTATAGAATGATGGAATTTTAAAGGAAGTGTCTGAAACAAAGTTAATATAACATAAGAATTCAATTAAGTGTCCTGTGCTATGAAAGAAAAGCCTCTGAATAACAAAACCTTCATCTAATTTATTCTTTATCTCTTACATTAGGGTTCTCTGTCTTCCATGAAACAGATGCGCTTTTCTTTCACTCCTCCTCCAGACGTTTCTTCTGTTTTGAATGCTAAATTCAGAAGTCAATTGTTGAGAATGTACCTTACAAGCAGAATCTAAAACACCTTGGAAGACACTTTAGCTAAATATAATGTTAGGGAGGTTGAGAGTTGCTCATTGCTGTTTGAGGTCTAAAGATAATGAAGATTTGTTGCCTCAAGAGTTGTGCAGCTTTAATCCCATAGAGACTATAAATTTTGAGGGTCAGTGTCCACAGAGGACCACTTTTCCTTCAGATACGTCAAGATCTTCAGACATATTGCTTGAAAATGGTGCAGTTCATTGAGGCCCTCTTTTCACACCCTCCTCCAGATGGCCAGCCAACAGCTACTTCATCCCAAACTCCTCTCTCTCTCTCTCTCTCTCTCTCTCTCACACACACACACTCGCTCGCTCACTGCAGCGGCTCTTTGACCAGAAAGAGCTCTGTCTCTTGTCACCGCTGTCTGCTTTTACATCTTAATATAATTCATGGGCTCAATCTGTTAGTTATTTTGTGTATAAACCTGCAGACTGGCCTTTTAATGCCTTTAATTTATATTTTGAACTTTGCTCAATGAAGTGGGAAAATGTGGATTGTGTTATTTCATATTGTACTGGTAACATTAAGATTGATAGTGTTGTCATTTTTGTTTTATTTGATGTTATTCCAGTAACTTTTTATTTTTTGAGGGACAATGTTTTGATACTGTAGTAATCAGTTGTCGAATTACAGTATAGTCTGTGTAGCTTGAGAAAAGAAAATCGGTTTATACATATAATCTGTAATAGTGTGCACACATATTTAATACACAAAAGTATATCTAATTATTTCATTATTTATACATAGTCTTATTTATATATTATATTATTATAAATATTATTTTCATTATATATATATTATATATATATGCACACACACACTGTATATAAAACATATATATAAACATATATATAAATAAATAAATATATATATATATACTGTATATATATATATATATATATCCACTTATATATAAAATACAACAAAATGTATATATTAAATAACACATATTATAAAGAATCTAGGTTAATATGTTTTTTTAAAAGAAATTAATACTTTTATTCATCAAGAAATTTTTATATTTCATTAAATCGTATAACAATTAAACAAAAACTGCTTTAAATTGTAATAGTATTGAACAAAATTTCTGTTTTTACTATTTTTGATCAAATAAATACAGCCTCGCTGTGAGAAGTGCTGCAAGCAGAGTGATATCGCACCGCTGGAAAAGGCTCTCAGCCCATCAGATTTGAGGACCAGAAAGAAATGTTGCATAAATTAATATACATATATTTTTAATTCAATTGAGTAAATAATATTTCATAACTCTTACAGTGATGTTCTCTCATGTGTGCAGTTACTACATTGACAGGCGGGTGACCAAAGTGGAAGACTTCTTGAAGACAAAACTTCTGGACACCTTGTCTGAGCAGATTACCAAGGTGTTAAAGGTAAGGTGTTTTTTTAAAGACACCCAGCCTAATATTTTTTGGTTTTTGAATGTGTAGGTCCGAGATGTGCTAACATGTGTTAAGGTTGTTGTTGTGAGTGAGCAAGTCCCTCCAGTGCTCATTAACTGTGTTTACCTCAAGGGCCCCGGGTTTGTCCTCAGCTGCACCATCCAAACAAGCTGTCGCTGGTCTGATAGGTGGCCTACCGTTAAGGGAGCGTGGGTCAGGGCACAGTAAAGGAGGAAAGCGTTTGATTGGGTTTACAATTTACAAGTTCCCCCCTCAGCCTTATGATGTCTCAGCTGCTCTGGGAACAGTCCCCTTTTGGTCTAAAAAGCAGTGCCAGGTTTCACAACATTTAAGGCTTCCCTCAGGAGGCCCAATCTATAAATACACAGCTCTCCTGTTTTATCTATCTCAAACTCACACATCTGGTTCAGTGTTCCCCTGAAAGTGAACGAGGGGGAAACTGACCTTCCTCCCAAACATCAAACAAAAGATGCCAAAGTTTTGTTCACTCCCAAACCAAGTGGGACGGTGATTAGAGCCTAATACATGTCAGAAGAACAAGTGCTAACTCCACTTCTAAACTTCAAATCCGAAGGTCATTTAACATAAAATCAGTAATAAGAGACTGAATTCACATCTTTTTTTTTCTGGAGTGGAGCTGCAGGTGTTTTTCGATGGTTTGGCGACACATACCCTTCTCGCTGTCTGTGACAGTTTACAGATTTTGAGAGGCAATTTATGCTTTAGCATTGATTCTCTGGCTGTTATTGTCTACAGCAGGTCCTGAGGTTCATAGTGTGTCTGAATCAGAAGTGGAGAGTATGAGAGGCTTTCTTTGGCTTATTATGGAATATGCCTTAATACCCAACATGTGTTCTATTATAACCAGACTCTGACCTTGCAGCTGGACGGCAGTCGGTTGTGTATTGTGCTGCAGATTTGGGATCTCATCTCAAATCATGGCCACGGACTATTCATGGATAGTCTGATTTATATTGAGCACAAAAACAGGAGTCAGGATGCAGATTTTTATCAGTCAGCTGCATGGGAAAAAATATGTTTTTGGTACCTGGCTTTTAAAAGAGAACCAACATTCGTTATTAATTTTCAATAGTATATATATTTTTATTAATAAATGTAATTATTTGTTCATTATTTTTAGCTACACTACCATTCAAAACATTGGGGTAAGTATTTTTGAAACAGGTCTTTTATTCTGGCCGAGGCTGAATTTATTATAAAAACAGTCATATTGTGAAATGTTATTGCGATTTAGAATAACCGTTTTATGTTTTCATATATTTTAAAATATAATGAATTCCTGTAATGGCAAAGCAGCCATTACTCCAGTGTTCAATGTCACATGATACTTCAGAAATCATTCTGATATGCTGCTCAAGAAACATTTCTTATGATTAGCTGTTGAAAACAGTTGTGCTGCTTAATATTTTTGTGGAAACCGTGATCAATTGATCAATTCAAAGCAGCATTTATTTGAAATGGAAATCTTTTGTAGCATAATAAATGTACAGTATTTGCTGTCACTCTTGATCAATTTAATGAATCCTTGATGAATAAAAGTATTAATTTCTTTCAAAAAACAGTACTGTATTTTGGATTTCACATTCACCAGCCGAAAACAAACAAACAGGTTGGTCACTGTCAGATGGTCTCATCTTGTTTAAGTGGATCAGACTAGCCAAAAGTCTTCAATATGCAAGAATTAAACGTGCGCAACTGTGCATTACTCAGTTATGGATGGTGTTTCAATTGATAAAACTTTTTCTTTGTTTTCTTTCAGATTGTTCAAACTCATGCTCCAGAGAAGAGTGTGTGGCTGGGTGGAGTTGGTCCGGCTTGGGCAGGGGGGACCAATAATATATCTGACACATTTGCTGCTGGTTTTCTGTAAGTGAAGTATCTTCATAGGGGCTGCAATTAACTATTTTGATGATCAGTTTGTTTAGATCTCTGATTAATCATTGTGATCTACACTTTGTCAGTACAGCATATCAGATTACTTCTTCATTTAATGCTCTTTATTATTCTTCAGTAATTTGCCATAATCTCTCCATATAAAAAATATCATTACTTGCATTACATATAGGATTTCAACTAATTAAGATTGAGTTTACCTGAATGTTTATGTCTAAAAAAAAAAGCATGATCTGTAACAGTCTGCAAAGCATTAATTGCTCAGTTGCTGTTAAGATTAGATGTTTTACAGACATATTTGCAATATGCTATATGTGACCCTGGACCACAAAACCATTCATAAGGGTCAATTTTTCGAAATTAAGATGTATACATCACCTGAAAGCTGAATGAGTAAGCTTTCCATTGATGTATGGTTTGTTAGGATAGGACAATATTTGAAAATCTGGAATCTGAGGGTGCAAAAAAATCTAAATATTTATAATCTAAATAGTTCTTAGCAATGCATATTACTAATCAAAAATGAAGTTTTAATATATTTACAGTAGGAAATTTACAAAATATCTTCATGGAACATGATCTTTACTTAATATCCTAATGATTTTTGGCATAAAAGAAAAATCTCAGACATATTTGCAATATGCTATATGTGACCCTGGACCACAAAACCATTCATAAGGGTCAATTTTTCGAAATTAAGATGTATACATCACCTGAAAGCTGAATGAGTAAGCTTTCCATTGATGTATGGTTTGTTAGGATAGGACAATATTTGAAAATCTGGAATCTGAGGGTGCAAAAAAAATCTAAATATTTATAATCTAAATAGTTCTTAGCAATGCATATTACTAATCAAAAATTAAGTTTTAATATATTTACAGTAGGAAATTTACAAAATATCTTCATGGAACATGATCTTTACTTAATATCCTAATGATTTTTGGCATAAAAGAAAAATCTATAATTTTGACCCAATGTATTTTTGGCTATTGCTACAAATATACCCCAGCGACTTAAGACTGGTTTTGTGGTCCAGAGTCACATATATATACTATATATAATATTATATATATTTATATATATATACTATATAACAGTGAACGTAAGTTGTGACATGTTGAAAAACACCTCTCAACCACATTGAGCATTCCAATTTATGTCAAAGCACTTATTCAGGCCACATGAAGCTCAGTCCAACCCACTTATATATTTGAATGGCCACCTTTGAATAGTTTAATACAAAGTGCTCATTTGCCTTGAACAACCTGTATTATACACTTTCCACTACACCTCAAGGCTGTGTTTTTCAAATGTGTTTCTTTTTCCAGTAGAAATGGCTTTTTAAATACTGACATAACTGATTAAAGTTGTCTGTGGAAAAATGCAAAAACCTGACAAATTGTTCAATTCTGTTGCATTCTTAATGTTCTCAATTTGTTTTGCTCGCTTCAGGTGGCTCAACACTCTTGGTATCGCTGCAGCTCATGGGATTGATGTTGTACTCCGACATTCTTTTTTTGATTATGGATATAACCACCTCGTCGACCAGCACTTCAACCCTTTACCTGTAAGTTTAAGCACGTAAACAGAACCCAAATCAAAAGCAGTCAAAGCTGTTTAACACTCAGACATTACCTGCAGACGGATTCAAGTCATATACCACACGCACTAAAGGTTACGCAGATTAACACCATACGCAGTTATCTGTGTGGTATGCTGGTTACCGTATTGTAAAACCTCCTAAAACGCATACGTAAAAATGACCTGGGCATAGTTTTTTCCGACATGAAGTGTTTGGAAATGGTCTTAGACAGAGTTGGTCTTTAGCATGTGGCTCAGGCACCTTATGGCTTTTCCCGTGGGACCTATTAGCCAAGATGAAAGGTGTTTTGTGGTGTTGAATACTGGGCAGCTGAGGCGAACTGCACTGAAATTCAAGCCCGAGACGATATCACCTGTCTCCCACCCCCTCTACATGTGTGCCCCACTGTGTGGAACAGCCAGATGCTGACAGCACTGCAACCTGAGCCGAGGACACTCCACAGGTATCCCCACCCTCCAGACCGCTGCCAACTTCATCCTGAATTATGTAAACCTCACTCTTTCACAGTGTCTGCAGGTCAGCCCCCTGGAGACAGGACAGACAGAAGACTTCAGTTCAATTTCAATTTGATTTGAGAATGGTGCAGTTCATATCCATATAAAAGACTATGACTAAACGAAACGTTTACCCATATGTTCTGTGGGTGTTTTCATAGCTCAGACACATGGTACATCATGATTCTTATTAGTACATGGCATTTGTACAACATTTTCTTATTGGTTTTGCAGATTTTATTTATTTATTTTTACAAACTCTTTACAGTACTTCTGCCTGCTGCTTTGATTTTTTTTTATTTTTAACAATTCTTTAAATATATTTAATATATTGGTAAATGTAGATTTTCACCATCAATTATATATATATATATATATATATATATATATATATATATAATGTGTATATATATGTGTGTGTGTGCAGATAGATAGAGAGATAGCTAGATAGATAGAATATATATAATGTGTGTGTATTTTGTGTGCACATTTATTTGTGAAAACAATATATTTGTATTTGTATATACATAAATCATAAATATATGTTTGTATTAAGAATCTTTTAAATAAAACATAATTTTCTTTTTTTTTCTAGCCACCACTAACAGGTTTTTGCCACAGCATTTTACATTTTTGTTTAAATTATTAAATATAAAATATACATATTTTAAATATAAATCTTTTTAAAATCTATAAAAACATGTTTTATGTTACATTATATTTTGTTTGTCATATGAGCATATTAAAAGAATTTAGGGGAAAATTAATAAATGAATTTCATTTAATATTATTTTCTTCTCTGGGACCCCAAACATTAAGAATGTATAGTCCATCTCAACAGAACATCAAATGGAAATTAACACTAATATAAATGTGTTACTATAAATCAAATCTAAGAAAGAACTTAAACTTTTTTTGACAGGATCCTTCTTTTACAGTATTTTCATAGAGATAAAAAATAAACAGCTTTAATCTACTTTAACTTCTACTTCCTACACGCAATCCTCACTGACTCCAGATGCTGATAGATACATTATCTGCTCGTGGCCCTCTGTTCTTTTACAGCCCACCAGCAGTGGAGATCCAGACCTGTTGACCGGCTCAGGATAACATATGTTCCTGTGCAAGTAATAAAACCAAAGGAAGACATAAAGAGCAAAAATACAGCAATGGTAGAAATTATTGATTATGCAACGCTCCATCAAATGTGAATCTGGATTTCTCAGAATCTCAACAGGAGCATTGTTCTTCTAGCACAAGCCAGAATGAGCATCTTTTAATAAAATGCTCTTTCGTCAAGCACTCCTCACAACTTTTGAAACGGTCATCTTTTTTTCCCCCTGCTTCTCGTTCAACATCTCTAGTTATTCCAAGGACCAATCGCCCCCTGCTGGGATCGCAATGCTTTAAACATAGCTGGATGTCTGTGGAAACTGCCAGAAGCCCCACTGTGAGAATTCGCAACAGCCGCAACCTGTCGGCCTGCGTGGAAAATTTACGGTCCAACCTTTTCTCTTTAATCCCTTACTGAGTCATGTCTCCATTTCTTTCCATTCACACCTCAGCAGATGATCTCATCCCCTCTTTTTGCTTTGCTTCTTTTTTTACCCCTAATCTCTTGCTGTTTCTTGTGTTTTCACCCTTGATTGGATGCTAATCAAAACCAGGAGATTTCACAAGTGCACTAATAATGTATTCAAGTGCATTAATTCCTATATAATTATACATCCACCCCTTTAGAATATTAAGGTGATATATGTAATTCTTTTGATGTTAAAATAGTTTCTCAATCCAAGTTCAGAGGCAATTATAAGTCTCTATTTTTCTTGCTCATATTGAATATTTTCAATAATCTGCATATTTATTTATTTACAATATTACACCTCTCTTTAGTAATCTGCATAATAATATTATTAACAATATTGATTTTTTTTATTGTATTTCGTGTTTTTGTATTTTATGTTTTTATTGTGTTTTATGTTTTTTATGTATGTTATGTAATAGTAGACTTTAATTATCTGCAGAGTAATATTAATTAATATCGATATTACAAATATTTATTTCGATATTTATTTATAGTTTTTCATCTGCTGGTGAAAGACAGTACACCTCTCTTTAATAATCTGCACTATATTATTTTTAATAATATTAATAACAATATTATTCTTCCTTTTTTTAAATGATCCTATTTTTTATTTGTATTTTCTGCTGTGTGAAAGCATCAATAATCTCTACATTCATTTTATTTCTTTATTTATTGTTTTTCATCTGCTGGCTGAAGGCAGTAGTGCACCTCTCTTCAATAATCTGCACAATAATAGTATTATTAATAATAATTAATATCGGTATGAATTATTCTTAAATCATTCAGATTATTAAAGATGTGCTAGTGCCCTATATCTCACATCAGAATAACAGAGAAACTTGGAAGTGGGCTTTGAATCTGGCTAAAAATCAACCGCATAGCAACCACCCAAAACTCCCTAGCAACCACTTAGAACACCCGCTGTGCCCAACAGCAACATGCCCAGCAATATTTTAACAGCACAATATCATAGAGGCATGTTGGTGTGCTTGATTTGGGGTCAATGCAAAATCCAGCTTCCTGGCAGAAAGTTATACGCTGACAAGAACCGCTCACATTTTTTCCAGAAAATCTACCCATATAGTCATTTTTGCAATTCCGTTTAGTGTCTGTGGTTAGTGTTTTGCGAAAATTACATGCTTCACCTTTAAATATTATTAAAATTGTAGGTTCTTATTGCTCCCAGTTGTTTAATATGTGGTCAAAATTGATTCGTTTTGTTGCACACTCTCACGTTAAGTTCATATGTGTCTCTCTGGCATTACAAGACATGACATTTGCTTATATCCTGTTGGTATTATAGAAAAGTACTTGGTCATATCTTTTAATCTCGCAGATCTTTAGCGGTTTGACTTTTAATTTATACATTATTAAAGTGGTTTCTGTTTTATTCAGTCATTATAGCTTCTGCGCTTACTGAGCTTTACTGGGTGGGCTGAGAAATGCTTTCTAAAGCGAAATACTGGTATTATCTGCCAGTACACGTACAATAAGTGACCTGAAGGTTGCTGAGGTTAGCACTCTTGAGCTTTATTGTCATTTTCATGTTGATTGTAGCTACCTAGTGCACATCTGCATACCATTTTCATAGACTAAAAATATGTGTAACATTTTCCATGGACCCCTATGCAGTTCAGTGTAAACCAGTATGAAAACCTCTAATCTAGGCTCTTGTTCTAGATTGTGCTCAGGCAGTTATTTTTTCTATAGCCCTAAGATGTTGACCTTTGCATTTAAAATATTTTTTTGAAATCGAATTGCTATTAAACAGAAAATGTGATTATTTTATAGACAATACCGAAGTTTCACTGCATCACACATTGCAATTCTTGGCGTTTTTAAAACAATGTTTTTTTGTCAAATTGCAGTTTAAAGAGACCCACCCATTCCCAAATCTAATTTTTCCCACTGCCTATAGCAGATGCTGCACAATGTACACTGCCGGAGCAAATTAAGTTAAAGTTTCCCTGGAAAAGAAGCCTTTAAATGCTGCCATATGCAGGATTGCATGGGAACTTCCTGATGCACACATGCTGCTTTGAACCAGTTCAATTAGGTATTGAATTTGATAACTGATGAGAGGTATTAGGAGAGATCTATTGCAGTCATGCACTCTTAAAAATAAAGGTGCTTCAAACGGTTCTTCAAGCAATGCCATAGAATTTTTAGTTCCACAAAGAACCATTCAGTCAAAGGTTCTTTAAAGAACCATCTCTTTCTTACCTTTTTATAATCTGAAGAACCTTCTTTCGCCACAAATAACCTTTTGTGAAACAGAAAGGTTCTTCAGATGTTAAAGGTTCTTTATGGAACCATTTAGACAAAAAGGTTATTCTATGGCATCGTGAAGCACTTTTATTTTTAAGAGTGTGCATGTGAAATTCAGGTAGCCATCACACTTTTCCATGCAATAAAAATGCATGTAATGATGTAGAAATCAGTTCTCTGGTTACACTAGGCCAGTTAATGTACAGTTAAAGTCCAGTCTAAAATCTTCTTTGTGCAATGAATGTGATGGGATTACTGGATCATTAAATGCTAATAGTACGACTTTTGGACCATAAAATGTAGCAGGATAATATTTTGCATGCACAGTACACAAACACGCACACATTCTTTTGTGTTTGGCTTGTGGGTAAAACATTTAGTTCCTTTAATAATATCAATAAATACTGGTTGGCAGAGAATTCATGCAAAATTTAAAGCAGGGTTTCTAGGAACCACATTTTTCAAAGGTACATTTAGCATATGCATCTTTTTCAGTTTAGTTTTTTTCTGTAAGAGCATGACTGAAAATTTGCTTTGTTCCCCCTGATGGCAGAAAGCAAAAAAATATAGTGTGTATCTCTCAATTCTATGAGCCATTTCATTCTTTTTTGCTTTGTTGTTTCTCAGTTTTAGCAAGAAAAGCTTCCAAAGAAAGACTATATGCTTCTATCTCTCCATTCAGAGCATCCAAGAAAATTTCACTTTCAATAAAAGACTGAAGCACATGTGCATTTTTTTATACTGTATCTCAAAAAAAAAAAAAGAGGAGTCATTCTTACTAAAGTAAAGGCAGATATAAGAAACGTAAAAAAAGCAATTTTCTTGCACTTTTCAAATTTAGTTTTCTACATCTTTCTCTTTCCCAATTCCAAAATTAAAACTCCTTTGAAAGATGGAAGGATGCTGGAATTCATTGGATTTCTGCTGGCGGAGAAATGCCACATCTGTCCAGTGTATTTAAACCAGAATCATCTTGTATGAATCATGTTTCTTGTGCAGAGGTGCACCATGCTAACACGACTCCATGGAAGAATAGCTTGACCTAACACGCGTGTTGACATGGCAGAGCTCCAGTAAAAATGACTCAGTGATGCTTTTTATTTTGTAACGTGTTTTGTGTGTTGGTATTATAGGATTACTGGTTATCTCTGCTCTTTAAACGTCTGGTGGGCCCCAGGGTGCTTGCGGTGCACGTCGCAGGTCTCCAGAGGAAACCACGCCCTGGACGGGTGATCCGGGACAAACTCCGCATCTATGCACACTGCACCAGCTTTCACAAGTAGGTTCATTGGACTGTCTAATGTAAGATCAGTTCATACAAATATATCAATACTGTTCCAAAACCGAGTAAGCTGCCTTGATATCTTGATATAAAAAGAAAAAAAAGATTTTAGGACTGTCAAAATTAACTGATTATATAAGATTAATTGCAGTTGTTTTATTAAAAATTATATTTAAACACTATTGTTCAAAAGTTTAGGGTTGAAAATATTTTGAAAATGTTTTTTGAAAACGTGATCAAAAATAAATAAGTAAAAACATTTGTTTAAATTAGATTTTAAAATGTAATGTATTCCTATGAATATAAAAATCTGCTGCAAAGCAGATTTGAAAAAAGTATTTTATGCTCACCCTGGCTACATTTATTTGATCTAAATACAAAAACAGTAATATTGTTGCATATTAAATATTATTATTATTTTTTTTTTATTAAATAACTAATATATTTTAAAATGGAATTTATTCCTGTGATGGCAAAGCTGAATTTTCAGTCTTCAGTGTCACATGATCCTTCAGAAATCATTCTAATATGCTGATTTGGTGCTCAAGAAACATTTAGTATTATTGTAGTTGTTGAAAACGGTTGTGCTGCATAATATTTTTGTAAAAAACGTAATATTTTTGACTCCCAATTTAAACATGGCCCAGACTACGTTTAATACGGCTTCACTTCAAATAGAGATAAACATGTTTTTTTTCCAACCGCAGTGTTTTATGTGGTGGAATAATGGATGCAGAGAGCATGAAACCACTGTAATTCAATGTTGTACATTCAACAATTTTGGTGCTGTGTTTGGTTGCCACTTGATTAACCCAATGTGAAAATTGGCTCCAGAACCAATTTCTTAGAACTCAGTGAAATGTTGATGTTGACTTGATGTCAGGAACGCACTTGTGATGCCTTAAAATGCTGTGTAGGTAGGCTGCTTGTTAGATTTAGGAACAAAACTTATACAGCAAATGCATCACCATAACAAGATTATATGTGTGTAAATTGTCTTGTTTTGACCTGTAGCATTATCTCCACACAGACACCCGTCATCTGAGTACATAGCCGTAGTGGAGGATTTTAAGGCTTACCTGCTCATTCTCGAACCCATAAATTACAGAGTCCAGACAGCCTCTCTTTCAGAGTGAGAGCCCATAAAATTTAACAAGTATCAATTGTCAAGTGTGTGGAGTCTCTTTCTACAGTGTGAGAGGCGCTGAAAGACACCAGAGGCTCAGGCAGGTGAGGGGAGTAGAGCTGCGGGACAATAGAAAGGTCTGTACCCAGGCCAGATAAAAAGTGCCATCGTTCCCTTTGATGATTATCTATTACCCCAGAATGATGTGAGCGGGACCTGCCAGCTTTTCAGCAGCAGTGTAGGTTTACGGTCTACAGATCCCCGTGTCTCAGCTCAGTTACAGCTCTGTGTCAGTGCTACCACAGGCCTCTGGCTTCAGGATTCCTGCAGGACAGACGTTTTTGCTGAAACGTACAGAAAACAGTGTTGGGGAAGCTACTTTGAAATATGCTACTTGTAATGTGAAGTACAGTCAACAAAAACATGAAAGCTTTATAATGGTAGTATATCTTTTTTAAATGCACTACCGTTCAAAAGTTTGGCGTCAGAAAGATGTTTTTTGAAAGAGGTTTCTTTCCCTGTGGGTCACCAAGGCAGCATTTAAACAGCAGTACGGTGAAACAGCAGTATTGAAGAATGTTATTGCAATTTAAATGAACTGTTTTCTATTTTATTATTTTTAAATGTAATTGATGTAATTACTTAAATATTTGTTATTATCAGTGTTGAAAACAGTTGCATTACTTTTTCTTTTTCTTTTTTTTGTGTGAAAACGATACTTTTTTCCCCAGGAACTTTTGATGAATAGAAAGTTCAAAAGAGCAGCATTTATTTGAAATAGAACATGAAAATGTCTTTATTGTCACATTTCATCAGTTTAACGCACCCTTGCTGAATAAAAATAATAATTTAAAACGCCACTCTCATATTTGTTATTATCAGTGTTGAAAACAGTTGCATTACTTTTTCTTTTTCTTTTTTTTGTGTGAAAACGATACTTTTTTCCCCAGGAACTTTTGATGAATAGAAAGTTCAAAAGAACAGCATTTATTTGAAATAGAACATGAAAATGTCTTTATTGTCACATTTCATCAGTTTAACGCACCCTTGCTGAATAAAAATAATAATTTAAAACACCACTCTGTCTTGAACGCACGTAAGACAGTCAGCGGAAGCTAGAGATTAAGGTTTATAAAGTTGTAAATATGGATATTTTTCTTACACAAACGCATCGCTTCGCTTCAGAAAGCATTTATTCACCCTCAGAGCTGTGTGGACTTCTTTTATAATGGATGGGTGCAATTTTTTGGACTTCAAATTTTGGGCTACCATCCACTCCCATTATAAAGCATGGATTAGCCTGGACATTATTTAATATAACTCCGATTGGATTCGTCTGAAAGAAGAATGCCATATACACCTAGGATGGCTTGAGTGTGAGTAAATCATGGGGTAATTTTCATTTTTGGGTGAACTATCCCTTTAAAAATAAATCTTTCTGACCCCAAACTTTTGAATGGTAATGTATTTAACACATATATTATCATTTTTATTTATAATGAGAGCAGTACTTATGGCAATAACTGTGAGGCTCTAAATGTAGATAACAACATTAAACTGAAGAGATACATTTGTTAAAAACAAGTAGTAGAACTAGAAATGTCATAATTTGTATTATGAATTGAGTCAAAAGCTATAGCAGCATTTGCATATTTTGATTAATAAAAGACAACATAAGAAGCTTGAGTGAATTTCTGAATCACAAAAAAATGAATGATTAAATCATTAGAATGAATCACCAAAATGGATCAGTCTACCAAAAGCTACTTAAGTGAGAGACTTCTTTTGCTTCCCAGTGAGTGACTTAGCTATGTAAGGCATTGCTCCCAAACACTGCAGTTTAGGTATTGATTTGTAATTGCATGATTAGGTCATTTAAAGCTCTGACATCAAATATGTATTAATAGCATCTTTAAAAATGCACTTGAATGTTCTTCTTTTAATATCTTATTCTTTAGTTGAGAGTTTCAGGCTTTTAGGTCTGATATTATCTGGTTACAAAACTCAGCCAATTTCTGACCCTGGTTGGTGTACAGATGACAGAGTTTTGGGCTGCGTTCAAAATCTCATCACATTGTGTCTTATCCTTCAAACCGAACAAGTAATCTCTGTAAATGCCATGAAACCCAAAACAGCTGGTCTACAGCTAATCCTACTCACTAAATGCTTTGCTTTTGCTTTGCCTGTCCAGTGGCAAGGTGACGTTGACTGTTTATTGATAACTGACAGGCGATTTTATTTAAATGAAAATGTTTTTTATTGAAATTACACTCTTAAATGTCAACAATGATAATATTTAATTCCCAGAATTTCCTCTATGTCAGTGGAAAAGCGAACAGTGTTACAAAGACAGCAACCGTTTGCAGACATTCGGGTCTCATTCCTCCAGCCTCTTTCAAGTTTTTCGTTCTATTAGTGGTTAAAATGGCTGGTCAGACAAGTCACGGATATGCTTTCAGTATCTTCACTAATCCTTCACAACACCCTTATACAAAACAGGCCTCCTTTTCGGTGCTTTCTCCGGTCCACATTTCCCCAGGACCATTTGCTGACATCAAACAAAGGATTCCATGTTTACGTTCCCCATGCGAATGCTGGAGAGGCACATTGTTTCAAAGTCTTGGACAGTGTTTATCATTTTTCGATCTGTTCGTCTGATCTAATGCACCCTTCTGGAAAATATCTACCCAAGTTCCCAAAGTCTATTAAAACTGAGACACCACACATGTATCACATGACATGAGAGATGTTTTCATTACACAGTCTTGGGTTTGTCTCATTCCTGAATTTTTGCCCTTGAACTCTATTCACTGTGCGCCAAGGTGTAAAGATGCACATGGCCCGGGTTGCTCGTGATTGGTGAGATTACTAACAGGCTTGCCTGACAAAAGCCAAGCTCTGACCGGTGCAGTTAGGCCTTTTCAACATGTGGTATTCATGCACTGCAGCTATGTTTTCTTTGCCTTTATGTTAGAATCCTTATTGAATTTTATCATGTTTGCCTAATCATGTTGCCAGATTCTTATCTTCAGTTAATATTCCCTTAAGCTTACTCTTCGGCGGTATTACCCTCAAAACAAGGACCAGTATGCTGGAGTCACTGTAACATAAGCACAATCGTCCAACACATATAAAGCTTTTGTTACCCCAGTGAATTTGGGAGGGGAGCTAATGCTTGTACAGTTGTTATATGAAAACAATCAGCTCTTTTACATGACGTAGTCCTGGGGCCTCCTTTGCTTATATACAGTACTTTATAATTTGGTTATTGTGTACTGAAATTAAATCACATGAGGGTTTGGACCTTATAACACATTGTCTCTCGTAAATGGAATTCTGGGAACAGACTCAATGATTCTGTCAGTATTACAGTATGTGCGTGAACAATGTATGTGGAATTTCAGATGGTAATTTAGGAGAGTTAGATACATTTTAGCTGCAGGATCTGCCCATATACTTTCAAATGTATCGATTTGTTTTGCGATTCAAGTGTATTACATGATCAGTATTGAAGGTTTGTTAGCTGTAATGCCATCTACACTACCATTAAAAAGTAGTTTTGGAAATAAGGCTGCATTCAAAATACAAACAGTAATATTTTAAAATATTATGACTATTTAAAATAACTATTCTATTTGAATATTTTTTAAAGTGTAGTGTATTCCTGTGATGACAAAGCAGAATTTTCAGCAGCATTTACTCCAGTCTAAAGTGTCACATGGTCCTTCAGAAATCAGCTATATTGTAATTTTTTAATGTTTTTTCTCTCTCTCTATCTCTCTCTCTCTCTCTCTCTCTCTTCTGCAGTCATGATTATGTCAGAGGGTCCATAACCATCTACATCATCAACCTTCATCGCTCACGGAAGAAAATCAAGCTGGCCGGGACTTTACGAAATAAAACTGTTAACCAATACCTGTTACAGCCCTTCGGCACAGATGGACTTCACTCCATGTAAGTCATCATCCATGACAGCGATTTACTGACAGATGAAACTCATAAATTAAAATTTTGTTAAATTATTTTTTTTTTTAGGTTTAAAGGGGTCATATGATGCGATTTCAAGTTTTCCTTTCTCTTTGGAGTGTTACAAGCTGTTCGTGAATAGATAAGATCCCTAAAGTTGTAAAGACTAATGTCTCAAACCCAAAGAGATATTTTTTATAAAAGTTAAGACTGGTCCACGCCCTCTTAAAACGCCCTCTTAAAACACCCCGTTGCCCTCACGTCTCCGTCACGATGTGAGAAGATTTGCATAACACCACCCAAATGTTCACGCAAAGAAAGAAGGCATAACTTTATTGTTGCTGCCGCCGCCATGTCGTGAAGACGCTGTGTTTTGTTGTGAAAGCAAAACTACTTTGTTTGGTCTTCCAAAAGAGGACACGACTAGAAATCAGTGGTTAAGTTGTATTTACAACACTGTTCCAGAACAG